TCCCGCCTCACCCTCAGCCGAGGCGGGAATCTCGCCGTGTGCATTCAGAAGCGCCTGGGCGTCGAACCGGGGCGTGCGGACCACCTTCACCTTGCGGATGCGGAGATCGCGCAGCGGCACGATGGGGTTGCAGCGCTTTGCCAGGCGGTCGCGCAGGATGTTGCGTGTCAGCAGCGTCACCGCCTCGTTGATGTTCACCTTCGACAGGCGCTGGCGGATGAGGTTCGTGATGCGGTGGCGCACCCACTTCACCAGGCGCGTCTTGGCATAGCAGTTCTTCGACAGCTGGTTGCTCTGCTTCTTCGTGAAGGCGATCACGAAGAGGCGCAGGGTGTAACCGTCCGCAGTCTTCGCCTCCACTGCCGCCTCGATCGTCGTGCACCACTTGCGCAGCAAAAAGTACACGCGGTCAGACGTCATTTCCATGCTGTGGAACTGCGTAAGCAGGTTGCGGCCCTGCACCTCCTGTACAACAAACTTCACCTTGCGGTAGGCGTCATCGTCGCCTTGCGTCTTGTTCAGATCCGCAAGGTTGCTTTCGTACACGCGTCCGCGCAGGTAGTCCGCCGCGATCTTTGTGCCCTGGGTCTTGTTGCAGATGGTCTTGCCAAACTGGCGCACCTCAAAGTTCTTGGGGGCAACCACATCGTACCACTCCTTGCGGCTCATCGTCTCCTGCGCCTTCTTCTTGCCGCGCTTGCCGCCCTTGCTGATGCGTTTGTTCTTCCCGAGCGTCATGACTTCTTTTCTTCTGTGCGTCCGTGCACACGTACCCCCACCAAAAAAACAACAACAAAGAGGGATGAGAATAAAATAGTATGAAGGAGCATCCACTGTGTGGAACATGCCAATCACACAGAAAGGTTTATAACATATATATATACATGTCTTCACACACAAAAAAAAAAAAAAAAAATAAGCGGATATTGAGTGGGCAGAATTAAATAAAAATGCACCTAATATGCATGTGCACTAACCATATGCCCCCTTCCCTCCTCTCTCATTCTCTCCGTCCCCGCCATAGCAGCCCTCCCTCCTTAGAAGGAAAGAAACACCTCGTGGTCCGCTGATACGCCAATGGCATTTGAGCCGTCAAGACTCTCCACCCACCCACCGTTCCACGTGCTCCTGCAACAGACCGCAGAATCAATACGGTTTCTAAAGGAATTGGGAGCCGCTGATTCCCCCTCCTCCTCCTTCTTTACCTTCTCATTGCGTGCAATGCCATTGCCACCAGCATGAGTCGGCGCAGAAGCAGCTGAAACAGGAGAAGCTTTTTGCAATGGAACAATCCGTACCTCCGCGTCAATCCCAGCGACAACCACTGCTTTGCCCGATGCGAATGGGGCAATAGAACCGATTTCGTATTTGAGAATATTGGTGCTCACACTCACACAACTCCACTTGCGCACGTCATATACACAAAGTGAGCGACCAACCGCCGCAGCAACTTCGTACTCATTGCATGTAGAGCATACACCCGCTACATACGACGTGGGACTCGTTAGGCGACTAGTGACAAGTGAAATATCCGGCTTGGTGTCCGTATTCAGGGTAAGTGCAGCGCCGGGGCAGCGCATATCGTACAGCGTAGCCACCGGCCCTTCAGCCACCACAACGCCATGTGGAATTCCGGGGCAGGCGGTGGTGCCAGTGGCCGGCTGTATTGTGCCATATTGTCGCACAACAGTTCCAGCTGGCACGTCCACAAGACGAATATCAAAGAAAAATTCCCTGCAGCAGACAAGTTGCTGAGAAAAAAAAGGTACTATTCCACACCAGCCCCAGGCTCCGTGTGTAGTTTCGCTGTCAGACGTCGTGGCAGGAACAATAAGTCCCCAAAAGGAACTTCTGTTGACTTTCTCTTGACGCGGCCGCTTTGCGGGTGATTCGACGCCAACCGCTGTTACGGATGAAGCGGGGAGTGTGGCGGCGTAAACATTCCCTACCGTGTCTGCAACGTATAGCAACGGTGAGGGAAACGCAGCTGCATGAGGAAGAAATTGCAGCATCCCTGCACGACTATCCGGAGCAATTTGAATGCAGCCAATTCGTTTGCCCGAAGGTATGACTTTGGACTCCCAAAGGGCCCCGCCATCATCGCCGTCCGTTGCGGTGCGGCGGATGAGACATTTGCCATCCGATGGATCGGTTGAAATGAGTCCCGTCAATGCCACAGGGACGGGGAGATTGTCATCGACTGCCTCTGCTTCTCGACGTGTTTCCCCCTTCTTATCACCCTTGTCGTCATCTTCTCGTTCCTTCTTGACTCGGCGCGGGATGCCAAGTTGCTGAGACGCCTGCAATTGAGTGGTTGTCGTTGCCGTGGTGAAGCTCACGTGTACACGCGATCCTTTCGGCACATACGGTCGTTTCTCCGCATGCATCACACTGCGGCCAAAAACATCCCCCAGCACCGTGGCAAAGGAGTACGGCTCCATGGCAGTCATCGTGGGCCAATGTATATACACGTCTTCTCCCTGCCAACGAGCAAGGGGAAAATAATATGACCGCCAATATGCACCTGTACGAGGTCTCCTCTCCCTTCTTCCTACAAAGAGACGCAGGGCAGAGCAATGGAAGATGACAGTTCGCGTTCAGTTTCCCTCGAAACCCTCTCACACACCAGAAAAGGTTCATCCAACACATACACAACACACACACTCACACTCACACACGTACATATACACCAACCCGTCGGTGCAGCGGTTCGTTCATGCCGCAATCGACGATAACGGGGCTCGCTGAGGAGACAGAAAGTGAGGGAGGCCAAAAAAAAACAAAAAAAAAAAAAAAAACAACCATCATTCATTTCTTACGGTTTTCAGTTGACATCCATTGCTTTTTATTGCTGTTTCCTCCTCTTGGAGTGGAAATGAGTGGGGAGAAAAGAAAAAAATAAAGGAATAAAAGCGATGGCCAGTTGGTGTTTATTTGGTTCCGGCAAAAAGGCCCCGCCAAAAAACAGAGAAAACTTCCTGCCGTTCCAGCAGCAAAACACAAACACACACACACACACACACAAACTCATACACATAAGAAAAAAAAAAAGAAAAAAAAAAATTTAAATATAAATAAATAAATATATTTACAATTGCAGATTTAAAAAAAAGCTTCTTCTCGATGATTTCAAAATAATTCTTCTCCTTTCTTCTCCTTTCTCTTTTTTTTTAATTAATTAATTTATTTCTTCATTATCGACTCCGTCCCCCCTCCCCCCTTTCCCCTTTCCCCTGTTATTACAATCAAACCCCACGCAATTTCAACGTCTGGGAAAAGCAAAAAGTAACATCCATCATATACATACATGTACATACACATATATATATATACATATCACGTGTAAAACTGGACGTGATTTGAAGGTTGAAACAGGTTGCGTAATGAATGCAATAACAACAACAACAACAACAACAACAACAACAAAAGAAAAAAAAAAAACTCACGAGAAATGAAAAGCAAGACTCCAAAAATGACATATTTTTGTATACATTTAAGCTCACCTATATTCTTTCATTCTTTCTTCTTCTTCTCCCACTTCATGCACACGAAAAAACAAAGGGAGAGAAAGAGAGAGAGAGAGAGAGAGAGAAAAAGTCATAGCAACCCCTCTCTTCCTGTCATACAAATGACAATATATCGCTACTTTTGATTAAAGTGGCAATTGTGTTTCCGACAATGACAAGGTCGGAGATGTTCCGCTTTCATCTTTACTACTGTCATCGCAACTCCTGGATCCATCGTTACTATTATACATATTTTTTTCCTCAGCATTTGTCAGTACCCGTTCCCGCTCTCTCCGAAACCAAGAAAGGATGAAATCGACGGGCTCCTCTGGCTTTTCTTGCAACAGGGCCGTGGAGAGGGCGTCAAAAATAGCCGGAATCCCTGCGGAGTACAAATAATTGCGAAGCTCCGAGTGGTAGTCATTCCTGCTCATGCAACCGCCATAGTGGCTGTTACTTCTACCAACGAGCGGTGTGGCTTGCCCCGGGGGACACGCCTGCTGTCGCTGTTCCTGTTCATTGATGAGCGTTGAGCTCCCCTCCTCCGCCTCACTTCCCATGGCCAGAGGCCTGCGGGACAGAGATGGCATTCGGGCGGCAGCACACACACACAGACAGACAGACACAAACAAGCAGAGAAAAAATCAAAAGGGAAAAGGCAAAAGATTGCTGTATCTCAATGACTTGTCTTCCTGAAACCGTCGACGGTTGGGTAGAAGGCCCCTTTCTTTGTTTGTCCCTTCTTCCCCTCCTTCCTTTCTTTCCTTTCTTTTTTTCCCCCCCACACCTAACGCCTTAGTTAAACACCAACGTCGCCTCTAAAATGCGTATCTCTGTTCCCTGAGACACCTCTATCGGCCCAATCCTTCCTTGGATCTCGCGCTCTCTCCCTCTCTTCCGCGCCACGCAGACCGGCAGGGGGATAAAAAAAAAAAAAAAAAAAAAAAAAGAAGAGGAATATAGAAAACATAATTGGAGACAAGGGCACATTCCCAAACGCGCATGCAAAATACATGTAAATGGATGAATGTGTGAAAAGGCATGCAAAATTGCAGTGAGTGTGGCAAAAAGGTCTCAAAAAGAAAGGGGGTTTCGTCAAATGGCTGCGTGAGATGCAGAAACTCTATTAAGATATAGAGCGAACGTGTGCGTAAGAGACAGACGGACACACACACACACACACAAGAAAGAAAAAAAATAAATAAAATAAAACTTAAAGAAGCCGCTCGGTTGTTTTCTCACTCCCAACAACATCAACTTGTTACGGCGAGGCAATCGTCATACGAGCAGTGGCCTTGTGGCAATTTGTAACAAGAAAGCAGAAAGAAGAAAAAAAAAGAAAAAAAAAAAGAGAGAGTGAAAGAGAGAAAGAGGTGTTGTCTACCAATGTCTAGGCAGGCGTATTTACGAAAGGACAGTGGAAGGGAGAAGTCAATTCTTTCGTTCACACCACCACCACCACCTCCCCCTCCACCTCAACCAACAAAAATAAATTGACTTTAAGTACACACACACACACACACAAACACACACAAACACGCATGGAGCATACATCCCCACAAATGCCGTATTATTTAAACAGGAATTATAATATATTGAAACTCTTCGTTTGTATATTTTGGTGGTGGTCCCTACGCCTCCATCCCCCCTTCTTCTTCTTCTTCTTCCCCCTTTTCCCCACCTCCTCCTTTTTTTGTTTTCCATTCATTTCAACTTGCATCCTCATTCATTCACGCCCGAAATATATGTATATATATATATATATATATACTTGTTGTTGTTGTTTCCTTCTTGTTTTGCTCTTGTCGTTACTCCATCTTTTCCCCCCCACCCCCCATTCTTATTCTTTCTTCTTTTCTTCTTCTTCGTTTGTTTGAAGTTTGTGAGGAAAGGCGTAACAAAACAAAACAAAACAGAAACAAACAAACAAAAAAAAAAAAAAAAAAGAAGGGGTCCATCTCCTTTTTACGCCACCTCAAACTCCACTTTTGCACCAGTCGTATCGGAGGGAAGATGTAATCATAACGTCATAATAATAGTAATAATAGTAACAATAGGCATGCATGCATGCATGTCTATTGCCGAGGGTGGAGCCGCACCATTTTGGTGGATGCATGCCAATCCCAGTCCCCCACCTTCTGTACTCTTCTCACACGCGGTGCGTTACAGACGGAGAGACACCTCACAGTGGCCATGTACATGCAACACATCATGTGTACTGCCCCACCACACACACACACACACACACAAACGGTTCTTTACAAATGGCAGAAGAAAAAAAAACCGCCCACCGCAGTCTCTATGGATTCTATTGAAAAGGCCCTCCCCCCTTCCATCTGCCTCTCTTTCTCTCTCACTCTCTTTTCCTGCACGGGGAAAACACGAGGGTTACGACAATTGAAGGGAAGACTCGCAAGAAAAAACAACAACAACAAAAAAAAAAAAAAAGCAGTTAAATAATGGTGATAATAATAGGAAGCATGAGGAGAAAGAAAGAGAAATAAAAATAAAAATAAAACGGGCGGTAAAACAGGCACACACACAAACACACACACACACAAAAAAAAAAAAACATGTATGTATATATAATTGTACATATCTCCAGTATAATTTCCGCGTCGTTTTACGCACACAATTTATGCGTATAAAATCTTCACGACGCGCCAGTACCATGTGGGAGCATGTATTGTTTTTTTTTTTTGTATGTACGTGTGTGTGTGTGTGTGTGTCTGGTTGCGTTCGTTACTTTTGGCAGCCCATTTCATTCGTGTTTTGTTAAAAGTCCTCATCAAACTTCAGCATACCCGAGTGACTCTCAATAAACGTGCGCACCGTAACACGTTGTGAGTTCTGGATACGTCCTAGCTCGCTGCGGCGTAGGCCCTCATAGATCTGCGACAGGGCCTCCTCTGAAATGGAGCAACTACGAAGTGCATTCCAGTCCCCGGCTGTTCGCAGCGATTCATTGTCAAAGATGACAAAGGTGGGGATGATCTCCACCCCAAAGAACTCAAACAACGGGGTGGCAAGGTCCATGTCAGCCTTCACGGAGCACGTCAGATTGCTGGGAAAATCCTCCTTCATCATTGTTGGAAGGGCGTGTACAATCCGCATGCACGGCGGGCACCATGACGCCCCAAAGTAAATAAGAGATCGGGTGCCTGAGGCACCTGCAGCGGGGTCATCCGGAAAAAGCGCCTTTTCACACACCGTGCGAAGAAAATGCGTCACCGTATAAACAGGTGTCAGTAATGACAAGGAGTGCAGTTGATCCAACGACGTCAGTTGCTTCACCACTAAGGGTCGTCCATGATGGTATCTGCCGGCCAACGGCGGCTGTGGATTGTCGTGGTTGTTGGCATGGCTATCATTTTTTTCCTTTTCCTTCGGGTAACAATACTCATCGGCCAGCCCTCCTTCCGCTCGCCACATGACTAAGGCTGGAAGAGCGAGTTCCTCACGTTTACACGAGTGGGTGGCGTCTGCGGATGCGTTCTCGTCGTCACCGCCCTTCTCGGACGTCTGGGACTTGGAGGAGTCGGCATCGTTTGCATCCAATACTTCATCTACACACAGCAACGAACTCGCACGTCGCATGACGTGCTCCATGTCGTGTGCCCCCTGTGACGCCAGCGACAGGAGGGTGTCTGTCGGAGGCAACTGCAGGAAGCCGGTAGCAACTCCTCGTTCATCATGACCGTTTGGATACGCCACATCGCTTTTCTCCTCGTACTCGCGCGGCGGCAGTTCGCCAAGATCCAGTAAAAAGATACGGCAATTTGAGAGCTGTTCCGTCATGTGCTGCGGCAACACTTCTGCTTCTCCCTTACACTGATGCAAAATAATGAGAACCGTTTCGCCCGCCCTCAAACGCAGCGACGGTGGGGCCGATGACGATGACGATGGCGTGACGTTCAACACACCCGCATGAGCAATGGGAAGAGGTGCACTGCCAATAAGTTCCTCCAGTTGCCGCAATGAATACAAAGTCGTGACCGCACCGACGGTGTGAGGGGCACGGCAGCCATCATGTGCCGCGTCCGGTCGTTGATTTTGACCACCGGAGGCGACACACCGCAAATCGACGCCGCTTGCATCACTCATCTTCTCGTCACGCACCGCATGTGTGGGGCCAAAGAAAAGTGTGGGCTCCTCCACATCAACATCATTCGCCGCCACTTCACTGCCATCCGTTTCACCCCGGCCGTCTACTGACACCCCGTTCACGGAGGGAAGATGTTGCAAAGATTCGTTTTGTTGCGGCCGCTCCTCCCGAAGACCTGCAAACTTCTTATGTGTGTCCAACGTGTCCGTGACGTCATCGTTGTTGTTGTTGGTGGTGGTGGTG